CCCGCACTAGCGCGAACGCCTTTTGCAAAGCCAACAGTACCATTCAAAAGGTTATTGAGCATGATCGGATGAATCATGGAACCAAGTGGTGTACCAGATGTGACGAGAGACATCACTAATGTACGTTTTCTAGAAGAGAAGTGTTGAGAAACGACCGCAATGCTGGGAGCATACGTTAGGCCCATCCCAAACCCAGAAATGACGCCTTGAACCATAAAAGCCTGGTCGCAACGTATAGGTAGCCCATCACAAAATTGGTGGGGCTGCTCACCAAGTAGAATTGACCAGGCTTCGTGAAGGACAAAGCGAACAAGGACAGTGATTGGAGCAGCGACCCCACGATCATCAATCGATAGCTATCCGTGATTTGTGCAGGAATTAACGATTGACTATGTATAAAGATATAGCAACTCACAACCACCCTCGGTCATAAAGTGGACCTGAGATCAACGTGACATTGACTGTGAGGAACGAGGTCAATGCACCAATCCATCTGATACTAAGTGAGACTAAGAACCGCAGAGCAAACACATTCACTTACGATATTGCAGATGGTGGATAATTGGTCATATAAACTCGTGTGTAATAATCTTCCGAGGTCGTTCATCAACTTTGTATGTAAAGTATCATGCGACTGATGGGTACCTTGATAAACTCCAAAAGATGATATGTATCTGTTCAAATGCTGTTGACTGATACGTGTCTTGAAACGAACGGAATTCGAACCAACCCAAAGCCACAAAATTGCATGAGGAAACTAGGCATATCGTGATTGTTAGACGCAATATGCGGGAATCATTCGAAACACGGCTTACCACCCAAGACAGTCCCCCAGGCCTGAAACCCACCATCCGAGGGCTTGCTTCTGTTTGGGAATTAGATGCCGGCATATGTTCTAGCTCTTCCAGATCATCTTCTTTCTTGTTCGTCGAGAACGTATTATGGATTGCGGACTTCATCGAGATTGAAGTAAATGGGAGTAAAACGCTATGCACCAGCAAGTGTTGGGCTTACAGGTTAAGACCAATACTTGAACTTGACCCTGCAAAAGCGCCTCATGCTAAAGGGGCTACGTGTCCACAGGAGGTGTATTCCATCACCGATGCCGGGCTCATCAACAACACGTTGACAGCCTATGGCCTGAGAAGAGCCCGTATGGTCTCTCAGGGTCTATCCCGTGATGGTACAGTAGACATCTGATGACATGATAACAATTGTCTTATCAAGGATATACAGGACAATGGATTGTTCGGATTATGTGGTTGACAACGGAGACGATTGAATATCCGCCTGGTCACAGGGACACTGGCTAGTGGTTACGCATACAGATAACTACTTATGTCACATTAAGAATGAACACTGATAGACGACTTACTTGATACAGGCTGTTCAAATCCATTCATCAAATAATGGAGGTCATTACTCCAAGGTACGGACAAAAACTTGAGGTGGAAGTAAATTAGTACTTGATGTTTGGTCAGTAGTCGACATCTCCGAGTCTATCAGCGGCCAGTCGCAACCTGCAACACAGCTGCAAATTAGTTGCTATGTGATTAGAAACAACGGCTGCACGCAGACAGACTCACTAAAGTGTCAACTAGTGCGTCGATCTCTCATGAAAGAACACTGGCAGAAGCAGTACTGTGTAGTAGTAATTTAGTGAAGTTGCAAGTATTATGTAATAAAGCATGAATTAGACCTGTCACCTGGTGACCTGTGACGCCATATGTCGTGATCGTTAACTACCCAACTGCTCAGGCAATGCATAAGCCTGAAAATGACCAGCAGGACCATGTGTTCCACAATTTCGAGTTCTTTACTCACAACAACGCTTGATTTGGATACCCATGTTTGTAGTACCAAGCCAGCCAACATGGCCACATGGTGTCCACAGCCCTTCCAAGTTCGTGGTCGACGTATGGCTCGTGATTAATGAAGTATCTTTCCGTCCTGGACATCGTGAGACTTGGAAGTGTAGTCTGCGACAGAATTACTACTCTGTCTTGAACCCCCCTAAAATTTATACTCATTCACAGACATGCCAAACATTACACGAATTTGCTTCATTACGACATGTCTGGCGTGACGTCCTCTTTCAGCATCGTTTTCCTTGACCAGTGTTACCCCCATCTGCGTTCATGTACTGCGGAAGACATCGTCACCAGCTGAAAACCGCTGCCCGACTGGACCACCTATGGACACAGTCTAGCATCGTCCCTAAGCGTCTTTACACGTTTCCGCTGGATTTCCCTGGTGTATTTCAAGGTCTCAAATTTCTTCCGGGTGGGACATGGCTAGTGTTACTTTTCCATTGTCGAAATCTCAACCCTTCTCGACACTCCAACTTATGCTTAGTGAAACCAAGCACGGGAGCTGGATTCCCTGCTGTATCCACGACCTTTCAGAGCGAGATGTGCTGGCTCCCCTTCCTTGACCAGACGGTCCGTATAGATCATCTCGTGGTGACAATCTCATATTACTACGAACCAAGTGTAATGACGGGTGCGGTGTATCCTTCGGGTCCTAATTCGCCGTATTCACGAATTCCAACTAGATCTAATGCCTTCGGAATTGTGCATTTAAATACAAAGATACCCTCAATCACGATACCTCTCATTTTTCGCACAAATGTGTTTGTGCGGAACTATGCAGCGTCAGGAGACTATATCGTTTATGGCTGGATTACTGCCGACAGGAGGCATTTCCTTCGTATCATGCAGCTAAACGATAATTATGACGGTTTTCGAAAGGATATGACTGTTGAAATTGACTGTCCTAAGGGACACGACGGCAAACTCCGCGTAAGTGCAAAGATGAAAATATTATAGTTGGAGAATACCGATGATTATGTACAGATACGGTACGACTTGCGCCTGTCCGGTCGGGTTCCGTGCATCTTGCTCATCAGCACGCGATTGATGGCTGCGTACAACATTCCCTCCAATGTACCCAACAACGTCGACGCAAACCTACCACCATTGCTTACGCCATTCTGGCAGCTTCGCCCTGCTGCTGTGACCTTGGACGCTTCGTCAAATTGTTTCATGAAGGAGCTATAGTATCTTTGTACGAAGGCCAGATTCGATTCATACGACCTCACCTCGATGCCTCAGAACCCAACACCTACGCCATTGAGAAGTACAATGTAAGCTTTGCTCTGCACTGCCGCATCGAGAGAGTGACTCACTCACCATTGCAGTTTGATCCCCCACATCCACAGAACTTACAGCGGCCGTGCTTGTTCTCAGCCCAGCGGATATTCTGGCGTTCTTCCCTGAAAAACCAGAAAGGGACGACATCTCCTTGGCAAATGACCATCGAGACGAGCGGAGTCTCAGAAAATGTCCATCGTGAAGGCCGTGTACTTATTGACTTACAGGAAACTCAGACCTCCGCTCCATCTGCGAGCACTCGAATAGTGCAGGATTGGGATGAGCTTTCGGGAAGACTTTGTATCAGAAGCATACAAAGCCGCTTTGCGCAGGATCCGAGATGTCGAAAGACTACTTGGCGGGTCACATTGGTAGATTTTGTGTGAGAGTTATACGAACCTACTGTGCTATGGTATCGTGAGACCAAGGTGCGAGGACACATTGCACATTAGTTAGCTAGTTTTTTGTATCCACTTACGTTCATTAGAGCAGTGCTCTATGTTGAACGTTCAACCGTTCAGCTAGATTTGCATGCGTAAGCACAACGTTATAAATACTGGCAGCTGCGAGGTCACCAGGTAGCAGCAAAGAAATCTGCAATCAACCCCATGCACGTGCTCCACCTGAGCTCCGATTGCACCGACGTGCGATCGCTCTGTTATCTCCTTACTATGCTCCTGTTCTTGAAGCACCATGGTTTCGGCGTGCTGTTTTCACGGTGTTATCGGTACCCAGAACGCTACATCTCCGAGTCATGCTTTGGAACCGAGAAAGAGGTTTTGGAAGGTGGATGCGTTTGTGCCGGTCTCTGTTGATCCAAAAGATAGCGTTGGAAGCAGAGCAGGCTCCTTCAGACGCACCCGAGCAAACTCCAAACTACCTCGCGATGTTGGCTCATCCAAGCAAGCCTCCCCGTCGATGGGATCTGAAAGTTGGTGCTGTGTCGAAAACGGATCAGTATGAAACGCTCGATTCGCGTCGTCGCCATGTGCACACTTCACTACAACCTCTTCGATGCCCCACTTTGGCTCAGGTGTATACTCCACTTGAGCTTGTGTTCTGAAACGATTTCGCACGCTTGGCGCTGGAGTTTCACCGTTTCAGGCAGATGATCAAGCACTTAACGTTGAACGTTAAAAAGTTAAAGCCGAAATTGAGTGTACATATCGTGTAGTATAGTCTCAAAGTCTGGAATATCAAAGTCCTCGGAAACAGGCTGTGCGTGGCCATGGCTGGATGCTGTATGCGATGTCATCAGATTGTGTCAAGAATGCTTTGAGAAAATGTCGCGCAAAAGAAAGGCTGACTCGGACTCATGTAAGCAATATCTACCGATGATTTAAGGTTTAAGCCACTCAAATGAGGTTTCGGCCATTTCCGAGTTGAGCTCAAGTCCTCCATGGAACTGGCAGTAACAAGGCAGTAAGGTCATCTGCTTCTAGTCAGGATGCCAAGAACCAGCAGAATTATATACACTGTATATGTTGAGATTTGAAAGAAGAAGAATTTTGGAGTCATTCGCACGAAAGCATAATGCGAATACCGGTAGATAGCTAATTCCAGTAGTGATACAGTACATTGAGTATTTGTTTATTGTCCGTTGGGGCGATGCCCGATGGTAGACATTAAGTATTGGCTACATACACCTATCACTTCCAACTTCGGGAACCAAACCAGCACCATTTACGAGTCCACGAGCAGAGTACCCGATTTTCGTGCTACACACTGCTAGTGCTAGTCGACACGCTTACGAGCCCTGACTCCTCCTGGAAAGCAATTGAACTCATACAAGTTGCTAGTTCGGCGTTACACGTGAGCTTGGCGTGATAGTCTCGAACACTAAGGATGAGACGTGGTCCCAGCACGAACAATTGCACGAATATGGCGATTTGAAGTATAGCATAATAAATTTGAGCTCCCACGGAATATGAGTCCTATAGACAAAACAGTGGTCAGACGTAAGATGCCAGTTACAAATCGGCACACATACTATTATGTTAGGAGACAGACAGCCAAGGTTGAAACAAGAAACGGCAGCAAACCTAGCACACGTGGAACTTCAGCGAAATAAAATCAATCGCGTCAAGATTGGGAGCTCACGTTGCAAAGTAAAGCACATGACTTTCTATCAACACCGTGAAACAGTCCCCTTTGGGCCATCTTGGAAATTGACACCCCATGTCATGGAAATGTTTTACAGCAATCCAGGCCGCAAGACAGAGTACAATGCCCTCCCACACAATGCGGAGTATCCAAACCCCGGCCAACAGAAGTTCAAGTTGTTGGCTTCTCTGAACCTCGTAAACACACTGATGAGTGCCGGAGAGGACGAGGTCATCTGAAATCCGTCGTATCAGCTTGATGGTTCAAGGTCTTTCGTGATAATCGAAGCATACCCCAAGGCAAAGTGCGGATTGCTAATACAAACAGTACTCCACAGGCGGCTGTGATAGTTGGAAAGACTGCAATGAGAAAGACGAGGATTTTTTTTGATCCCTGATACATGGCATATAATCGAGCAACCATGATGACTTGCAAGATATTTTAGTCGAATCTTAGCGGAGTGCGCAGTAACTCACTGCCGAGTATGGTATTTATAACGAAATATGTCCCTGCTTGTACCAAGAAAAATAGGGTACCTAGAAAACATAGTTACTGAAGAGTCTCGGAGTTAAATAATTTGGTCAAACTTACAGCTATCTCAGATGTTATATAGAATCCCTAAAACAGGTATTTCACTCACCCCTAAGTAGAAGTGTAGTCAGTTGGACAGGCATGGCAGGCAGACGCTGGCACGAGATAATTACCACATCTGTCATCGTAATTCCTGGGAGGCTCGCTGCTTACTGTTGGTCAGAAGAAATGGCAACAGAGTAAGGAGACATACGCAGTAGGTTGTTGCTGATAGTAAGATGACTTGTTAGTACAGTGCTAACTGTTGACCTTGTGAACATACATAGAGTATAGTATTCCAACGTAGCGCACCTAGAATATTCTCAAATCAGTATATATAACTTGTCAAGTGCACCACAGCGCATAATATTGGCTACATACGATGACATATAGAAGGGTCATGAAAGACCAGCGTCGCGTCTGTCTCGAATTAGTTCGTTTGGCGTCAATATGCGATAAGAGTTCTACTCACCCAGATCAGTTCAACCTATAGATACATTGTCAGTACTGCTGTTCTGGTAATGACATCAACTCATCAACCTACCTCTTGTCGGAATGTCAGTGCTAAATGATACCGGGACATCAACAATCGCCTCGATAAATACTGTGTTGCTTACCCCAATCATAGAGTATTGCAGTCGAAGATGCCACTGCAAAACCAGTCATAAATAGAGTCAAGTGACAGCATCGGGCTTGCTCTTCACGAACCTAAAACATAGGTGGCAACCTGATGTGTATCGTTGTCCGGCCAACCACTGGGATCAATTGAGAGTAGGATCATATCCAAGAAATATGGGTCAAAGAGTAGCGATTTTGGTGGAGCATAACGGTGATGTTGGTGCTACATATACACCATCCAGCGCCTGTGCCGCCGAAATAGGCAGATGCATCCTTGACCGACTGCCAGTGTTTTACGTATAATCGTATGAAATTAAGTACAGAAACTTGAAGTCACAGTGGAAGCAACAAGGAAGTAGTACTGCAGGGGCAGTGCTACAAAGCAGTGCATCACGCTTACCTGACACCCTGAACTATATACTACAGCTATGCATGTAGGTCAGCTGCGAGGCTAGCTACCAGGATACTAGGAATCCAGACACCTTGAATTCGGATCACCGGGTTTTGTGGCACTATGATAGATGTTAAGGTCCGATACTTCTGAGAAACAAAACAAAAAGACTTCCCATTAGCCGACTTGAACGACTGACCTCGTCATTACTAGTGACGCGCTCTACCAACTGAGCTAAACGGGACGTGCAGATTACTAAGACCAGCACATGTTGAAGCTTGAACGTTGCGTGGGAACTACGGGTCGGATCAGAACTTTCAACAGACTGACTATCGTAGTCACTGCTACTACTACACGGTATTGATGCATAATGCCGTGCCTCGTGATGTTCTTCTGAGTCTTCGGCTTCCTACAGCCATATATACTTCGGCCCCAAGTATTTTCACATTCCACTATTCCCGCATAATACCCGGCGCAGTTTCATCACAGCATCTCCTTCGCTATTCAACGTTCAACTGGTATCATATTATCTATACCTGTAAAATCATTTTTGCAATTCACTGCTTTTTTGTCGTTTGCTGCATTGGCAACTCTCACGAGCTTATGTACCATAGGCAAGCTTGGCCGGTGTGTCTGATGGTTAGCACTCGTGATGCGCTACGATTCGTACTCAGGAGTATCATTGGCACATTGCTAAACCTTTTTCACCAGCAGAGTTAATGCATTATTGCGCCATAACCTCTCTCCTAGGCTTATGCTATAGAGAAGAGATACAGCGATGGTTGCACATCTGCCAGTAGCTCAGATGAGTCTCGACTAAGATTCTACAGCAACTTGCAGGTCGTTATTAAACTAAATGGATCCAGGTCAGTGTCAGTCCCATCAACTACTTTCAGGGTGTATTTATTTTTATACTTCTATAGGTTGATTCCGATGTGTCTATCCGCTGGCCCCTGGCCCGGGGCTTCTACCGGGTGATGGCTACGTTCTCGTTGCGAAGTTCTGTCATTCACGCTGTATCATCCACCCTGATAAACTATTTGGCCAAACCAATCAGTAGAGTCGCTGATCCGGTCCGTCGCTAGGTAAACTAGAGGTTGATCCTGGTGGAGCAGCCTGATTTGCTCTTGTGATCCTCAGTGGTGCGGTCAATATAGATTCAGGACATTTGCAGGCGATCCATAGCTTCCAGCTGTAATCATTTGCAGTATTCTCTCAACTGTGTGTCGCCAAGAATATATCCAAGCCTACATGTTAGTTTGTTTTCCCACCCTTAACGATGCTCACTCTCTGTGATCCAACGGCAATTAACGTTATCAACGACTTACCTACCGTGTCATACTCGTAATGACCTGAGAGGGATTACTGAGGAAGCTTGATTTACGTATGTCCATAACACTGATCTTATATGCTTTGAATCTGGTGGGTCAGGGTCTTTGCGAACTCTATTCCGACACTTGCTGTGCATCCTAGGTTGACAGAACTAATATTAGGTGTGTCAAATAGTACCGTTGTACTCGTATGAATCTAATGACCCCTACAGCAACGTTCGGTTACAAGGTTTCAAGAAAGACCTGTACTTGCATAAGGAACAATACGCCACAATTTTGTCCGTTCTATTTGGATACATTATCATGCGAGTGCCAGGGTGAGTTTCATCCTCGATTGAGAAACAGCTGAACGTAACTTTTCTTCAGGAACATGTTCCTGCACTGGCTGGAGAGGCCTTCTGTCATCATTCTGTGCTATATGTTTACGATATCAGTATTGTCAGGTTCATCGACACTGAGTACTGACCGTTCATGAAGATGACTACTAATCGTGCCCAAGAATCACTACGAAGTACACTTCCTTGTCTTGCATTACTCAGATCCAGTCTCTGATAGTTTGACCCAAGTGATACTGGCATTATCGTCGCCCGCTTGTTTCTCGGCTTTGCCGAAGCTCCCTTCTTCCCCCGAATTGTATTTCTTGTATCTAAACGGTACAGGCGAGACGAGGTCGCCTTGAGACTAGCTCTCGTTTCTTGCCGAAGTTTTCTCAACTTTGCATTCGGATCCATGTTTGCATCCGCTATACTCCACGGCATGCAGGACAAATTTAGGCAAGCTGCATGGAGGCAGGTGACGAGCATTTCTATAACTGAATGATTTGTAGATGATTATTTATATTGAAAGCGGTGTCACCATCTTGGTCGCCGTTTGCGCGATGTTCATGCTTCCTGATGTCCCGCACGACACCAGGTGGTTCACCCCAGAGAAAAGCGCAATTCTTATATCTCGCCTTGTAGAAGATGGCTATGGTAAGGCTGACAAGCTTGGGAAGCAGACGACCATGAAAGGACTGCGGGATCCGATGTCTGATTGGGAGACGTGGTTGCG